TCCACACTACGCCGGAGAAAACGGTGGTTTAATTCTCTGTTGAGGCCTACCGGCCACACTAATCAGTCCGTCATTTAAACGGGGCTTTCAAGAAAAGCTCTACAAACCGGACGAATTTAAAAAACGTCGGCTTTGTGTTTAAGTATGGACGGAAAACATTTTGAAAAGTACGGAGCTTTTCGAAAACGCTCTTCAAACCGGAGGAATTTGAAAACGCCGGCTTTGCGTTTTAGTGTGGACGGAAAACATTTTGAAAACAGAGCTTTTTCGAAAACGCACTTCAAACCGGAACAATTCGAATGCGCTGGCTTTGCGCATGCGTTTTAGTGTGGACGGTAAACATTTTGAGCCTTTCGAGGATGAGGATGTTGTGATACTCATGCGATTTCCCTGCCCAAGTCTTCCTCAAAAACTCAAATCCAAAATGGCCGGTGATTGTTGCATTTTTTTTTTTTCGGCGTAGTGTGGACGGAAAACATTTGATTCGTTTTCCGAGTGAAAACAGCGTTTTTATTTCTCCGCCGTAGGGTGGACGAGGCCTTCTATTGTTAAAAATTCAAATAAAACAAAAACAAGCGATGGGCTTAGTTCAGATTGAATAGCTTCTTTAAGATTTTAGATTCATTTTCTTACAACACATTTGCTATTTTCAGATATAATCATAGATCGCGAAAATTCCACAGTGCTCATCGAATCGTGGAAAGGGCACAGGATCACCATGAAATGCGTTGTGAGGAAGGCTATCACTAACTCCACGGTCCGATTCTACTGGCATAGGTCTAATGGTCAAGTGCTACCCGGAAGAGAGGTTTATTTCAAGGACCGTGAATTAAGTCAGAAGACAGTGGTGACTGACACGGACGCGCAATTCAATCCAGTCAGGTGTACAGCGAAAACGGAGACCACAACTCAAACGCTGGATATCATCATCAAACGACTGCGTGAGTGGTTGTGCTTAACTGTGCTCCACTTACTCCCTCCCCGCTTACACCTCCGACTCCCAGCGATTCCCCCCCCCCCCCCCCCCC